GAAAGAACTGAAGTCAGAGGATCGGCATTTACAGGGGAAGGTTGACTATAGCAGCCCATGTATTTCGTATCTAAGGGGTATTTTATGATATATTATATCAGGACCTTTAATCAAGCAGCCCTGAGACGGTTGCCTTAGGTGGCATCTCTTTGGGTCACGTGGGGGGTGGCTGGCAGAGTGGCATGGCCTCTTTGCTGCTAAATATTTGCTGTGTGCCTGCCGCCCCCTATCCGGTTAGAGCGTCCCAGGTTGTTAGAACCGGGTAGGGTGAATGTAGGGAGGACCATACATATCTCCCTGCCCATTTTTTAGCAACCTGGGACGCTCTGGCGTCTCACCAAGCTCCTCACAAACAGTGACATCACTGGTTGCTAGGAGCCGGGTGGGATGCCGGCCAGAGCGTCCCAGGTTGCTAAGAGCCGGGTGGGAGATGCAGAGCCTGTAGAGGACAGCATCACTCGGTCTGGCGGTGATGTCTCCTCTACCCACTTCCCACTGCTCTCATTGTGTGCACCCGCCACCACCACCGTATCTTATATCCAAGGGTCCTCTGGTAGGTCCAGCAATGTCTCGGGTCTTTCCTCTTCTACTGGTGGGCGGTCATAATTTCTGCACTGAATTGAGCACAGGTTATGACGTGTGATCGTCGTGCAGTAATGGTCTGAATTAGCGCCGTGTGATGACGTACCACCGGAGTGCGGTCATCGACTGGGCTCAGAGGAAGGTTGTTGACTGCCATCATTCTGTTGCCTGGCTGTCACCCTGCGCCATATATATTGATCAGGAGTTCTAAGGTCACTTTGACTTGAGACTGAGGGCCACTCATAATATGTGCGGACAACTTTAGATATTTAATCCCTATTGAATTTACAGTTTAATTCAGCTGGATACATTCTTGGTCCATCAAAACAAAAGGTTCAGTTCAAGCATCCAAAGCCTGAGTAGAACAGCCTGGCCCCTGCCCGCATGCTGCAGATAATGACCCTTGGTCTGTGTGTGGAAGTAGTGGAGTCTCTGCAGGAGATCCAGCAACCCGAGTCAGAACTAGACTCCCCTATCAACAAAGCTCATCCCAGCTGCTGATTGGAGAGCTCTTGCTCTGACTAAGCAGGGGGCATGTTAGACCTCTGCAGAGAGACAACAGCTTCCACACAGAGATCTAGGTTCTTTCTCTACCGAAGGCTCGCAGGGTATAGGCTGTTGTAGTCCTTATACTGCTGTCTAATGAATACCAACTGTTAGGGCCCATTTGTACATCCTACGTTCCTTTTTGTTGCATTTATGTGTGCTTTATAATGCCTTAAGGTGCGTTGTGTTGGGGCAGCCCACTCATAATCACCAGCGTGTGTTGGAGCCATGTTGCCTGAGTGTGTTGAAGTACCATTCAAAATGAATGACACTGCAACATGTGAATGCACGCAATGTGCATTGCGGTAACTTGATGGTCACTTCAACTCCATGGACTCGATGAACTCGATTTTTCAACCTATGTAGCCGCATGAAGAAAGTGTCTTTTTGCCCTAAGACTTTGCACGCCTTTTCCACGACCAGATACCCTATCCCTAAGCGCCATGGGGCACCTTATAATAGACCACCATGGATGTCCACACCACATAAAGGAGGTTCTTAGGCTCTGATGAAGGGAGCATGGCCCCGAAAACACGTTTGGTCACATTTGCTACACTGGCTGAACTCGGCAGGTCGAACCGGAGATATTCCCACGAATCTGGCCGTACTGTGACGCGATTTATTGCTGCGTGTTCTTAATCATATATTACATACTTCACCAGGACGAGGCGTTCCATCTTTTTACATTTACTGTGCACACCTTTTGTATTGATGCACCTGGAATGGGTTTGGCTTATTCTAACTGAACGTTGACTTTGGCTTCCACAAGCTGGGCGGGTCTCGGGATGAAAAGCCGAGTCACACGAGGCCGCGTCCACATGCCAAAAACAGATATTTGACTAACGTGTACATGTAACCAGGAGGCCGCTTCTCCGATTAGGAGCAGATGATTTACATATTGCCCCCGGAGGGCCGTTATAAGATCTCTGCAAGTAATAATTATTCGGAGAGGATGTCTGGGTTTGTGAAAGAACAGGAATTTGTCTTTGGTTATCAACAGATGGATCCATCACGATTGAGTGAGAAAAACTAATGATGCTTTGTTGAGGCCTCTGTTTCCTTTTTATTAATGTCATCTCTGCAATTATAGATTACAGCCCCACTGCAGGAAATGATCATGCTGGAACATGGCTGGATGGAATTTTATACTCCGGTACTTTTTTTTTTTCATGCATGTGGCGCTTAAAACTGGTTAATATCTCGGAGTGACCACAATCCCCCCCCCCTCCATTTTTCCCCAGTGGTCGGCTGTTCCCCGGCCACTGGGATAGGAAGTGAGGGAATGCCTCCCCAACCAGGGATGTTCCTACACTATTTGCCGGGGGGAGTGGGGATTAGTGCTGCCGGTTAATGGTACTTCTGGGGCAGGGTGGTTGGGGGTGCTTCCAGTGAATGGTACTTCTGGGACAGGGTGGTTGGGGGTGCTGCCAGTGAATGGTCCTTCTGGGGCAGGGTGGTTGGGGGTGCTGCTAGTGAATGGTCTTTCTGGAGCATGGTATTTAGTGGTGCTGCCAGTGAATGGTCCTTCTGGGGCAGGGTGGTTGGGGGTGCTGCTAGTGAATGGTCTTTCTGGAGCAGGGTATTTGGTGGTGCTGCCAGTTAATGGCCCTTCTGGGGCAGGGTGGTTGGTGGTGCTGCCAGTTAATGGTCCTTCTGGGGCAGGGTGGTTGGGGGTGCTGCCAGATAATGGCCCTTCTGGGGCAGGGTGGTTGGTGGTGCCGCCAGTTAATGGTCCTTCTGGGGCAAGGTGGTTGGTTGGTGCTGCCAGTTAATGGTCCTTCTGGGTCAGGGTGGTTGGGGGTGCTTAGGCTTGGATGATTTTAAATCTGGGTCCAGCGGCCCTGTCCGACGTCCCGCCCAGTTCCCTGAAGCCTCCTTGGATCTATTGAACAAAGGGCAGGAAGTAAAGGGAAACATTCGCAGTGGGTTTTGTTGAGAGGTATAACCCTTCTTTTTCTCTGCAATATATACAGTTTGGTCACACATGATGGGTCCTTGCCTGGGACTTCTTCCATGGTGGTGGTGGTAGATCCTCATCTTATCATGAATGGCTTTTACAAAGTGAGTGAGTGCCGCTCAGTCCAAGTATACTGCCAGCCCAGACCACATGATGAGGCACCCCCAGGAGGCGGGTCCATGACAGCCTGGGCTCCCAGGAAGTAGGGCCATCATTCTTCCAAAAAGAGGAGCAGCGACCTGGAGTGGTGAGTCTGCGAGGACAGCGCCGGACTGGGGATGAGTAAAAGGAACATGGAGTTCTACTTTAACTGTTCTAATGCATTCACTTCCACTGCAGCCTGGACCGCGTTCCTGTTTAGGGGTTCAGTAAATGTTCTTCATCAGTAAATGTCAATAAAGTTGTCTGTGATTCTAATAAGTAAATTGTTTTCTGGATTACCTATCGGAATTATTCACCTGCGCACGCTTTTGTGTTACAGATTTGCTGGTAGACGGGAAACCATGTGACTACGACATCATGGCGGACTGCAAAGTCGGGGACCCCATACGCCTGGAGGTCAGACTGACCAATCGCAGCAGCAGCGCTGTGGGCCCGTTTGCCCTGACGGTGATCCCGTACCAAGATTACCAGAACGGCATCCATAACTACGACCTGAAGAACATTGTCACCTTCGTCGGCTCCAACACCTTCTACATTAACCCTGTAAGTGTGCACGACGCAGCGATTACTGCACACGCATTCGACATACGCACTGCAGCAAACGCAGAGCTGCTGCCCATGAACAATGCTTGACTACTCCTCAAATTGTTAAAGAAATGTAAACCTAGAACCAGCAATGTCACATATTGCAGCTTCCCAGTCCTTATATGTGTTGGCTGCATTAGTTTTCTTTTTACACGCTTTTGTTTCCCTGTTTATTTCTACCTGGTTATCGAGCAGGTAATGCACTTCCTGTATTAGGGTGACAACACTCAGTCACTGTACTGTATTCTAGCTTTTGAGCTGCAGCGTTGTCACCCTACTACAGAGGAGCTTTCTGTAGTCCTGTCCTAGAGTGACAACACTCAGTCACTGTACTGTATCGTATCTTTGGAGCTGCAGCGTTGTCACCTTAGGACAGGACTACAGAAAGCTCCTCTGTCCTAGGGTGACAACACTCAGTCACTGTACTGTATCTTTGGAGCAGCAGCGTTGTCACCTAGGGCAGGACTACAGAAACCTCCCCCCATCCTGTGCAGCTGCTAAACCAGCTGCTGATGAGTCCTTAAAACTTAACTAAAGGGGGAACTCTGTGGAAAAAGTCTTAACCCTTTCAGTGAGGCTACCCTTGCACTGCAAGGGTCAAGTACTCATTTGTGTCTAGGTTGAAAAAAAGTTATACTCACCCGAACCTTAGATCTGGCCAGCTGTGACAGCCTCCAGCCTCTCTCCGCCTACATTGCAGCGATGGTATGTTCCTCGGCATCTTCACGTCCTATACACTGTATAGAATGTGATGACTCGAGGAATCTTAGACCACTGCAGCGGAGGGGGAGCGAGACAGAAGGGACTGGTCTAAGAGCAAGCTGAGTCAGAGGTTAAGACTTTTCCCCCGAAGTTCTGCTTGAATATTATACCCTAAATTGAGTTCATTGCTTGCACCAGGGCTGAGGGCTCCTGAGAGGAGTACTGGGGCCGGGTGCTGAGATGTTTTCAGGAAGCTCACCCCGCTGGCCCCTCCCATAATCACATTCTGCCGGCATTGCCTAGAGAAGCCCAGGGACCCACTGATGATGTCACTGGGTCTGTTATAAGATACGTAATGTAAGATACGTAACCTCATTAGCATGGTGAATAGGGGGAGGGACCAGGGAAGGCGAAATGTAAGCAGATCCAGCTTCAGCTTTAATAAAGAACTATGGCCAATGCTTTTTTTGGTGTTAGTTCTCTTTTGGGTACCAGGAGGACATATACTAATGTCGTCCTATGGCCCAAGACTCAGCATATAGCAGGCTATTTCCCGCTGTATGCTGACGGCACAGAGCCACGCTGCTGCCTTCACACGTCGGCTCTAACCAGTGGGGAAGCTAGACATTCTGTCACCCAGGGAAAAGGTTCAGAGTTACTCCTCCCCAAGGGAGAAGTCCTCCATTTACACACCACGTGGCGCCCCTCCTAAAGTGGCACCCGGGGCACATACCTCCCCCCAGTCCCCCCAGCTTCTGCCCTGGCCCTATGGGGATAAGTGCATTTCACTGTCCCCATAGCTTTCCTTTAATTGTATGGGATCCGCTGAAGAGTTAGGTTACGGTCAGGGGCGTAACTAGAAATCACAGGGCCCCATAGCAAAATTTTGTATAGGGCCCTGTGATTTCTACTTACGCCCATTGCAGAGACCACTTGAGATCCCACACAGCCCACCTGATTGTGACCCTGCAGAGCCCATCATAGAATCTCTATGGTGGGCTCTGCAGGGTCTCAGGTGGGCTGCTCGGACTCCTTACCTGTCCGCCTCTTCTTCCTCCACGGCCGCTGATGGGCTCCTCTGTCACCGGGCCCACCTCTTCCTCTGTCACCGGACCCCGCCTCCTCCTCTGGTGCCGACCCCAGGTCCTGCCTCCTCCACTGCCAGGTCCAGCCTCCTCCACCGCCGCTGCTGGCTCTCACTGACTAAGCTGCGGCTGTGGAGAGGAACACGCTGCAGCATAGATTGCTGTCAGTGATCTGAACGGCGGCACTTACCTCTTCGCAGCCGCCAGTGACAGCCAGCAGCATATGAGATGCCATAGCGACCCAGGCGGCCCGCACGGCATCAGGTATGTACTGGCCGGGCCCCCCTGTGCCCCGGGCCCCATAGCGGCCGCCTGGGTCGCTATGGCGATTGTTACGCCACTGGTTACGGTTAGGTGTCAGGACATGCAGAAACATTTATATCACATTTCCAAGCTATCAGTGTCCCCTGCTTGCTCTCCATACATCTGCCCTGGTGTTTCGGCGAAGGGCTCCTTCCACCCTCTCCTAACCAGTGACAACTCTCGTTTTTTTTTTACAGGTCCAGCCGACGGAATTTTCCGTGTGTTTCGGCTCTTTGCTCTTCCTCTACACCGGAGATTTTTACCTGGATATAAAGTTTCAAGACGACAACTCGGCCCGCGAACTGCCTCTTTCTTGGTTCTGCCTCCCCAGCGTCCATATACGTGCCGTGAATGCCATCAGCGAGGCGCAGTTCTGAACAGACACCTCGAATCTTTAAATTATTTCACACAGTTTTTTTTATGCGGGATTCGTTACTTTCCAGAGATTTCATTATTCTCAGAGTCAGACGTCACTTAGCAGCTTACACGAATGTTATCCGAATTTCACTATAAAGGTAACTTTTTGCTTCTCTCTGACCTCAGACAACTGCCGGATCAAACGTTCTATGCAGCACATGATTTAAGTGAAGTGACTAAGAGCATGCACAGAAGGAACTATGCTGAGGGAAACAGATGCATATGGGCTGTGGTGTTATAGGAACGAGACATCCCCAACATTTGGGTACATGTGTCTGTTACTTGTTTATCCCTGCTGGCCACTCATGGCCTCCATATAACAAAAAGCTGGGGATATTTTATATCACACCACATATAGGGAACCCAATGTTTGCAGGTGAACTTATCGGCCAAGTAGACTTGAATTGGCAGAACTTTCATACTAGCAACATAGCTCACAGGGGACAGCAAGGGGGAAAGATTATATTTGCTTGAATACAACAAGTCAGGTGGCACTTATTCTCTTAGTATTTAATATGGACGGGGCGGGGCATAAGAGAAATTGCATACCAGAAACCGGTTTGCCCCCAGGGTTCCTTAAGGCTTTTTCCTTCTCTCCTTTGGTTAGAGGTGCTCAAAGTTCTAAGAAAATAAAACACAGGCACTACCCATGGACGGCGGTGCTGGATTATTGCTGCTGAGATACCATCATGGTCAGTGGGCAGGTCCTGTGAACATACGGGCCTGCCTAATCCCTGGCAGGGGTTGTTCTTCGGGTGATAAAATAAAAGCCAGTGAGCTACAAATAGTTGCCGGCATTCATTTATTAAAGGGTCTTCCTGTTGGGTTTCTTTCCCCTCTATGTCCCATTGGGGAGATTTCCCCTCCATTTCCTGTCCTATGTGGGCAGGTCCTGTGAACATACGGGCCTGCCTAATCCCTGGCAGGGGTTGTTCTTCGGGTGATAAAATAAAAGCCAGTGAGCTAAAAATAGTTGCATGCATTCATCTGATTAAAAGGTCTCCCTGTTGGGTTTGTTTCCTATCTATGTCCCATTGGGGAAATTTCCCCTCCATTTCCTGTCCTAGAGATACAGCAGGAAGTGAGAGAAGATCCATCAAGAAAGATAGGAGAGTAAGAGGAAATTCCTTCTTAGTACTCACCGTAACAGGTGCCCTGTTGGAAGGTTAACCCTCATCTCTTGTTCCAGTGACAACTATAACATTTTGGATTGCCCCTTTCCCTTCTGCGCTGGTGAGAAGTTTATTGTTACATAAGAAAACAAAAGGACAGAGGGATTTGGACACACAAGGTCACAGCCATGGGTACATGGGGAGGTATAGGATTCTATGAGGAGGCGTGAAATGTTCATTCCATGTGATGTTCAAGTCTGAATACAAGTTAATTCCATTGAAATACTGTTTATAAGGCTGACGCGTTTTGGTAATAATTTTCTGGTACCTGGACTTGAATATCACAGTGTGGCTCTTCAGTTATAGATTCACTCATCCCTATCACAACCTAAGGCCATTGTGGAAACCCTTGGGTGTGCCGAAGCTTCCAGCCAATAGATTCTCTGTATTCACACCACCGCCATACTATTGGATGATGAGAATAATAAAATAAACATCTAAAGAAAGCTCAGGATTCCAAAACTATTCATCAGCACATTCATTCCATGTGACCCTTTTGGCAAAACTTGAACTTCAGCTGTCAGAGCTGTCAGAATCTTTCTCCTTCGACCAGTGAACGCCGTCGCTTCATGACTCGGACCAGAGACGGCCAATCTGTGTTACTGCCGAAAAGACGCAAAGAGCCGAATTCAGATCTCTGTATGGACTGCCGGAGGACGATGAACTGATACGGACAGAACACCGGGATCCAATGATTTTTGTCTGTACCAAAGAATAGAGTGCCCAACCGGGGTAAAGGATATATAAGTGATATACGTGCTGAAGGGTGCTAGCAAAATATTCTGTACCACACACAACCTATTACCTACCAATGAGGGACCCCGGGACCTTCCATCAGCACATTATATCCCCCTCTCCCCATCAATACATTATACTCCCCAGGCAGTACATTATATCCCCCTCTCCCCACGCCAGTAGAATATATCCCCCCTCTTCCTATGCACTACATTATATCCCCCTCTCCCCAGGTAGTACATTATATCCCCCTCTCCCCAGGTAGTACATTATATCCCCCTCTCCCCAGGTAGTACATTATATCCCCCTCTCCCCAGGTAGTACATTATATCCCCCTCTCCCCAGGTAGTACATTATATCCCCCTCTCCCCAGGTAGTACATTATATCCCCCTCTCCCCAGGTAGTACATTATATCCCCCTCTCCCCAGGTAGTACATTATATCCCCCTCTCCCCAGGTAGTACATTATATCCCCCTCTCCCCAGGTAGTACATTATATCCCCCTCTCCCCAGGTAGTACATTATATCCCCCTCTCCCCAGGTAGTACATTATATCCCCCTCTCCCCAGGTAGTACATTATATCCCCCTCTCCCCAGGTAGTACATTATATCCCCCTCTCCCCAGGTAGTACATTATATCCCCCTCTCCCCAGGTAGTACATTATATCCCCCTCTCCCCAGGTAGTACATTATATCCCCCTCTCCCCAGGTAGTACATTATATCCCCCTCTCCCCAGGTAGTACATTATATCCCCCTCTCCCCAGGTAGTACATTATATCCCCCTCTCCCCAGGTAGTACATTATATCCCCCTCTCCCCAGGTAGTACATTATATCCCCCTCTCCCCAGGTAGTACATTATATCCCCCTCTCCCCAGGTAGTACATTATATCCCCCTCTCCCCAGGTAGTACATTATATCCCCCTCTCCCCACGCCAGTAGAATATATCCCCCCTCTTCCTATGCACTACATTATATCCCTCTCTCCCCAGGCAGTACATTATATCCTCCTCTCCCCAGGCAGTACATTATATCCTCCATCTCCCCAGGCAGTACATTATATCCCCCTCTTCCCAGACAGTACATTATATCCCCCTCTCCCCAGGCAGTACATTATATCCTCCTCTCCCCAGGCAGTACATTATATCCCCCTCTCCCCAGGCACTACATTATATCCCCCTCTCCCCAGGCAGTACATTATATCCCCCTCTCCCCAGGCACTACATTATATCCCCTCTCCCCAGGCACTACATTATATCCCTCCGTTCAGTTAATAGAGCTCCCGGTGCAGTGAATCTGAAGAAGTTGCTGAGGATGTCATCTTCCCTGTAATTTGTATTTCACTGACTTCTGGGAGAGACTTAAGAAGGGGGACGAGCGTTCTGGGAAAGCCGTCCCTCAGTCTGAGGGCTCTGCCCATAGTGCCAAGACAAGGATGATTTATTTCATTGTATTTATTTATTGGCAGTTATAGAAAATCATGGCTGGACGCATCTCGAAATGGAACGGCGACTTTTAATAACATTAAGACACAGAATAGCTTGTGCAGGAATAATATATGCCGTGTCAGGTTTTAATGGCCCAATAGCAGCTGTTCAATTACATGAGCACTACACTGATGATAATGTATTTTTCGTGAGAGGACTTCTTAAAGTGGCATTCGAGTCAAGGATGACACCTAGCACCTTGGCATGAGGGGAGGTTTGGATAGTTGTGTTATCAATCTCAACTGAAAAGTAGGGGGAAGGTGCACGGGGTGGGGGAGGAAATATCAGGAGCTCAGTTTTTGAAAGGTTGAGCTTTAAGAAGTGTTGCGACATCCAGACTGATATGTCAGTTAGTAGATTAGTTACACGCAAGGACACAGAGGGGGAGAGTTGCGGAGTAGAAAGATACATTTGAGTGTCATCGGCATTGACATTGCATGACATTGTTCGGTAACACCTACAGGTCTTGTCCCTCCCACAGGCTGTAAGTGGACCAGAATTTGTTTAATGTGTTTTTTTAAGGAGTTGCTTTATGCCTGTGACTTGCTGACAACACAAGGTACACTATATTCCCAAAAGTTGTGGGACGCCGGCCTTTACAAGCACATGAACTTTAATAGCATCCCAGTCTTAGTCTTAGTCCGTAGGGTTCAATATTGAGTTGGCTCCGCTATAACAGCTTCAACTCTTCTGGGAAGATGTCCACAAGGTTTAGGAGTGTGTCTATGGGAATGTTGGACCATTTGTGAGGTCAGGTACTGATGTTGGACGAGAAGGCAGGGCTCGCAGTCTCCTCTATAATTCATACCAAAGGTGTTCTATAGGGTTGAGGTCAGGAGTCTGTGCAGGCCAGTCAAGTTCCTCCACCCCAAACTCACTCATCCATGTCTTTATGGTCTGTAGCTATTGAAAAAGACATAAAAGCGTGATTGGTCACTCCAGAGAACACGTCTCCACTTCTCTAGAGTCCAGTGGTGGTGTGCTTTACAACACGGCATCCGACGCTTTGCATTGCACTTGGGTGATGTAAGGCTTGGGTGCAGCTGCTCGGCCATGGAAACCCATTCCATGAAGATCTCTACGCACTGTTGTTGTGCCAATCTGAAGGCCACATGAAGTTTGGAGGTCTGTAGCTATTGATTCTGCAGACAGTTGGCGACTTCTGCGTACTGTGCGCTTCAGCATGCGCTGACCCCGCTCTGTCATTTTACGTGGCCTACCACTTCGTGGCTGAGTTGCTGTTGTTCCTAGTTGCTTCCACTTTGTTATAATACCACTAATAGGTGACCGTGGAATATTTAGTAGCAAGCTTGAATTCACTGAGCTGAGAGCGACCCATTCTTTCACAAATGTTTGTAGAAGCGTCTGCATGCCGAGGTGCGTGATTCTATACACCTGTGGCCATGGAGGTGATTGGAACACCTGAATCCAATGATTTAGAGGGGTGTCCCAATACTTTGGGCAATATAGTGTACCTGTATTTCAGTGCCATTGTTACCTTTTCAGGCTGGGACAGGTTCACTTTATTGCATTTATTGCAGAATCTTTACTGAGTAGTCTCCTACTGACCTTCACTTTTAGCATTGCAATGTACAGCAACC